AGCAGTGGCTCTGGGGCCCCTGACCCTGGCATTCTCTGGGGCACTGTGGCTTCAGACCCTAGAGACTCAGCCCTTGCATTCACACTGGGACTGGTGGGTGGTCAAGGGCATGGTGTTCCCATCCTTCCCAATGGCTTCCTGCAGGACCACCACTCCTCATCCCCACCGTCTGCTCCTGGCATAGGGGTCCCGGGCTGGACGATCACCCTCTTGGGGTCACAGCCGATGCCCCCGAGTCACATCTGGAAGAAGGCTCAGTAAGTCTTTGTTGCACAAATGCCCACCCCGTTACGTTCTCTATTAATGCCCATGACTCCGCAGGACAAAGTCAAACACATGGTCTTTCTCTCCAGTGACCGTTTCTGGGAATGCAACAATCCACTACCAGGAAGCGCTGGTACCTAGACTGTTTTCATCGCTGTCCCGGGCTCTTTGGACAGTTCCTGCTCTGGCCCACATTTCTGGGAAATTACTCAATACTAGTAGCACCATCTGCTCTTGCTACTCTATCTTTATTATGAAAGAACAGAACTTCATACACACACACACACACACACACATACACACACACCAAAAAAAAAAAAAAAAAAAAATCAGCTGTGATTTTACCTTGGGATTTCTGCTATGTTATTAACCAGCCTCCTCACCCCTTTGCCCTGCTCTATCTTTGCCCAGATCTGAGGCCCCAAATCTCTGTCCTTCGGATGTGGACTGTGACTTGTGACCCATTGGCGGGTGATGAAATTATTATAATATAATGGGTGGTGGTAAACAGCATTTTAAGAAAAAAAAAAAGAATTGAAAATATTGAAAAGAATTTTATTTTGAAATAGTAGGACATAATCCAAAATGTCTATAAAGGTTGAAAGAGGTGTTTAGTATTATTTTTTTCTCTTTTGCTATCTTCAGAATATTCTAGAAGGTGGTATGTTGGCACGCTTGATCTCCCAGTGAGCTTGCGGTTGAGTTGTAGAAAATTGTTGTTTCTCTGTTAAGGTATCCCCAGCAGCAATGGGCACACTTGTCTCTTTCACTGTGTCTGTCACTGGGGCACTGAGAGCTGCAAAAATTCTTTGTACATCCAGGCCCCTGCACTCAGAAACTTGACCATGCCTAGCATGACTGCTGGCAGCCCCAGGCCACAGCCCTGGAACCCAGGCCCCCTTTGAGTTTCTGTCTGGAAAAGCTCAAGGCTGTTAAAGAATTTACCGTTTGTTCTGGGCAAGACCTGATGACAGGCCCCTCACGCCCTTTCCTCAAGCATTTTCTAAGAAGGTCTGAGAATTGTAACACCCACCGCTGCCCTTTGAACTATATATGTACATCTCTCCTGCTCTCCAGGAGTCTTCCTCAAGGTCCTGAACGCCACTCCTTTGCAATGTCATCATCGAGAAGGACAGGGCCTCTGTCACCCAGTCTCTGTGGGAGGACAGAATCCCAACTTCACAGCTTGCCTAATCCCATTTACTGACCAACCCTTTGTCATTCTGTCACTTCCATGACTCTTCTAGAGCCCCAGCTCACTCCCTTCCCTTGCCCTTCATTTTCCCTTCCAAGCACCCTGTCAGCTCTGCACAAATCAGAATGGGACCCAGCTTCTCCTACTACCAGTAGTTCCTGAATAGAATCTGTTTTCACCATTTTAATGTCCAGCATTGCTTATCTGTCACACACACACACACACACACACACACACCCCTCCTCAGGACAAACTCTGCTTCCCAGGGATGGAGAAATTGTGTCATCCTCATGGTCCAGATTGTTCCTTCCTAGGCTATTTCTCTGTATCATCTCTAAGTCCCCAGAAAAGTCTCCCGTAGCTGCTCCAGCCTGGTCTGTGACATCCATTGGGAAATTAAGTGAAGAGTCATGTGCAGAACTCTTTCCTTCCAGGGACAAGAGCTGGGACTATGAGATCCAAATCTGTCCCTATTGGGAGCTTCTCCTTCTACTGCCAAGCTTGGAGGAACTAAGCTAGTTTGACTAAGGGAGCAGAAAAATTTCCTTACACACAAAGCTTCCTAAAGCTGAGCCATGCCATAACCAGGTCCGGATGGCATGGCTCAGTGGTTGAGCATTGCCCTATGAACCAGGAGATCATTGTTTGATTCCTGGTCAGGACACATTCCTGGGTTGTGGGCTTGATCCGCAGTGTGGGGTGTACAGGAGGCAGCCAATCAATGATTCTCTCTCATCATTGATGTTTCTATCATCTCTTCCTCTCCTTTCCTCTCTGAAATATATATATATATATATATATATATATATATATATATATATATATATATATATATATATATATATTAGAGGCCCAGTGCACAAATTCATGCACCAGTGGGGTTCCTCAGCCTGGCCTGCAGGATTGAGCTGAAACCAGCTCTCTGACATCCCCTGAGGGGTCCCAGCTTGAAAGAGAGCACAGGCCTGACCAAGAGACCCACCAGTGCACAATTGGGGACAGGGAGGGACACAAGACATTGGCCAGGTGGGGAAGGACTGCAGGAGAGCTCCAGGGTTTGTCTGGCCCAATTTTCTCAGTCTCAATCAGCCAGACCCTAGCAGCAAGCTAACCTACCTATCAGAGCATATGCCCCCTGGTAGTCAGTGCACATCATAGCAACGGTTTGACTAGTCGACTATCTGCTCCCAGGTGGTCAGTGCATGTCATAGCAAGTGGTTGAGTGGCCTTTGCATATCATTAGCATATCACACTTTGATTGGTTGAATGGACAACTGGACACTTAGCATAGTAGGCTTTTATTATACAGGATATATATATATATATATATATATATATATATATATATATATATATATATAGTGTGTGTGTGTGTGTGTGTGTGTGTGTGTGTGTGTGTGTGTGTGTGTAGCCAGGAAGTCCTATATCCTTCTTTGTTCTTTCTCTAAACCTCAAAAATTAGGACACCCTAGAGACACTATGGTGCTAGAGGTCAAGACAAGGAAGGCAATGAGGTTTCTGTGTTCAGAGACCCCAAGGGAGGCAGCAGGCAAGGGAACCAGACAGATGACCAGAGATGGGGCAGGCATGGATGTCAAGGTAGCCTGGCATGATGGATCCATAAGATAGGTGACATCTGAGAGTGCAGAAGAAAAGCAAATCCTTGGTGCTAGAAACAAACATAGAAGTTAAACCAGAGTAGTGGGTAAGCAGGCGGGCTGATGCTGGGCAACATGGTGGGTGGGCCTGACCTGAATTAGTCTCCAGCACCAAGCGTCTTTAATCGTGGTGCAGATTACAGGAACAGAAAAAGGAGGCATGGGCCCACTGAGGTCCTGCAGGAGGTCCAATCTCCAGAGAAAGGGAGGCTAGGCTGGTCTGGGACACCACACACTAGCAGAGAGCACCAGGAACAGGGAAGGAGCCAAAAAAAAAAAAATGGGTAGGTGCCAGGCGCCAGCACAGCTAACCAGGCATCAGGTTGCCACTTAGATCCAGCAGGGAAACTGGAGGATCTCAGCAGTGAAACTAGGTCAAAACTCCATTTGACTCACCACAGCGGGTATACTGGCTGTCTGATCTATGGCCCAAGATGAACTCCGGAATGTACCCTATTGTGAGACGGGGCGCTGCTTCCCAAGGGCTCCCACCCAGAAGGAGCGAGTAACCTCTACTTTCTAAGGAGGCCCAGGCGGAATGGTCTAAAGGTATTCATGTGACCCCACATTTCCTTAAAGCCCCAGACTTCCTTTTTCAACCGCATAGGACCTTTTCATCATAATCCAAAACAAGGTAAATTGGCGACATGTTTCCAGTGGTCGAGAACCACAGCTCCGTCTCTTATGCCCAGTTCCAGGGCTCTGACCTGAGAAGCACAGGCCGTGTAAGGCTGCAGAAACAGCACTGGTTGGCTGGCACAGGCTGAGAGGTCAGGCCAGTGAACCACGTCCAGCACAGGCAGGGATGAGCCGGAGGAGGGGCAGTGAAGGATTAAAGAAGACAGACAAGAGAATACAGCTGGGGTTAGGTAGGAACACTGTGCTTGGATGAGGAAACAGTGATGCAGCCTGTAAGCCGAAGCTTGCTTGTTTTGTGTGTGTGTGTGTGTGTGTGTGTGTGTGTGTGTGTTTGTTTGTTTTTGTTTTTATCGTCAGAGCACACAAAGCAAAACAAGAAGAGTGGTCAACATGTTTACAATGTTCTTGGGCATTTCAAATCTGTTTTGTTACTCAAGCCTTGTTTTGGCAGCACTTGCTGCACCTCCTATTAGCTACCTAGGGACAAGGGAGGACTTAAAGTCTTAAGGATGTAAGGTCAAGCTTAATTGAGCTAGTCCCAGTTTCTCTGCTGGGACTTGCATGTGGCTCTGCCACAGGTCAGTCCAAGGCTTGACCCTGTAGCCTCTCTGTACAGACCAGAAATCAGAAAGCCAGAGGGAAGCCTCCTGTGACGAGAGCTAAGACCAGGCAGACAGAGAATCACAGTTTGCACGGATTGGTGAAGCTTGTTCAGAGAAGCGATGAAAGGCTCAGGGGAGAAGCGCTGTTTACATTTTGCCATTCTATAAACCAAATCTGATTGACCTCATCCTATGAATTTATTTAAATCCTCTTGAACCAACTGAAATGTTTTAAATTTCCATCTCCTAAATTAATTTCTATTCAAATACCACTTATTCATGTCAACCAAAACTCACCCAAAAAATTCACCTCGTAATTGTGTACAACATATTCTTAGCCATTCCAAACACATTTTATTGAATAAATAAAAACTTTATTTGTGTATTTACCAAAAACAATATCCTTAATTTTATCATTAAAAAAATACAAACCTATAAAACCAAAATACTTAAAGGATTTGGTTAACTAAGTGTGGGCTATTTTTACCTATGAATATGAAAATCCAACTTTTCAAAATTAGTTTTGCTGAGACATGTTTGAAATATCTGTGAATTTTCATGAAGATTGACTCTTCATGTTATGAGATTTATTACAACATCTAGGTCAGATATTAAGGGACAAAATTATTTTGCAATCCCAAGTTAGAACTTTATACAAGAAATCCCAGTGGTGTTTAACCACTTTGAAAATTCTATTGAGTATTTTTTCTTTTTCAAAATCAAGTAGGATAAGTAAATAACAACAGTACCTTGAAGACTTTTATAAATAGGAAAGCTACACTTTTCACAGCTATAAGCAAAGGGCATTTGTATTTCCCTGAGAGCATAGTTTGCTTTGGGTTCAAGGTGTGTGTGTGAGTTGGTGTGAAGTCTTTGACAGCAGAATGTGATGAAAGCTAAGAGAACAGTTACCTGTTGATGATTGGGTGAGCTTAGCTCCATGCCCATTTTAGACCAGCCTTGTCAACCGGGATCCATTAACCTGCCCTTCAAGTCCCAGCCGAGCTTCTGGGCCTCCTTCTCTAGGTCCAATCAGGTAGGAGACCCAGGCAAGCAGCTCAGAGGCCCCAGAGCCCATGGGTCTGGTTGCTGGTCCTGCTTTAACTTGTGACTCATTTCTAAGAAGTGGATTTCTTCCTGGAACCTCCTTGGCTAGAACCCCTCCTTATTCATCTCTTTCCCTTCTTGAGAATGGAGTCAGGCTCACAAACTCCAGGGACCCTCATACCATTTTTCTCAGACCTGACTCCTCCTGCTCATCCTCTTCCTCCCATCCAGAGGTGCTCTGTCCTCACACAGGACCTGCCTCAAGATCCAGTCTGCTGTGACTCACGGGGCACCATTCTGCCTCATTCCCCTGCTGGTGGTATGGATTATGACAGTTAACTTGCAACACACTGGATATTTGTTTATTTGAGAATGAAAATTAGATCTTAAGAGCTTCTATCCCTGGCTAGGGCCTAGACATTTATACTTACCATGTTTCTAAAAAAGGACTTGTACTTTTTCCTTTCCCTAAAAGCTACAGACTGGTAGCTTCAAGTGCAGAACTCTGGGTCATCTTAATGGATATATCTGCCCATTGACCCACGCCATTATCGAGAATCCCTAATTCTTGGGAGCCAGGCACCTGAGATTTCTACCCCAAGTCACCTGCAAACCTGATTATATAAACATTATATAGAATTCTTTCCTTGTCTTCATGTGGGTGTTCAGAACTAGTCCTGGACTTGGGTCCTGCATTTAGAACCAAGTTTAGAGCACAGAGGTCCTACATCTTCACTTTCCTAGCACCGGTATGCTCAAAATTTGCTGGCTTCTCTTCTTAAAGGACTGTTCTCTTTCTGAGGTGGCTCTTCATGTGTGTGTGATGCTGCCATTGGATATCCTCTTTGGAAGTTCTTCCCTGAAACCATTTTTGGAATATGATTATAGCTCAGAAATAGTTTCTGAAGGCAATGTCAAAGAAAGACAAATGCATAAGCAGTGGCCTCATCGTTGACGTAAGTGCACAGCTTTTCAGAGAGGCCACTCGGAAGGACAATAAAGACTTGGATGTAGCCTCGTAGCTTTACATACATCTCTCTCTCCTCTCTCTCCTCTCTCTCTCTCTCTCTCCTCTCTCTCTCTCTCTCTCTCTCTCTCTCTCTCTCTCTCTCTCTCTCTCTCTCTCTCTCTTCTTCTCTCTTTGCTAACGTGGTGGGGGAAAAATTATAATATTTTCAAGTGGCCTATTTACCTGTTTATTCAGTGTCTTCATGGTAGCCATTTATTTTAGTCATTGGTGTCCTCAGGCTTGACAAACATAAAGAACTCCTTGAGTGTTTGATGAACTGAAATTGAGAGCTTTGTTAAGATTAGGGCTCATGAGTAAGTGATATGTGTGTTCTAAATTTCCACAAAATATGCTTGTATTTTCCCATCTTACTTTCATAGGAGGGGAAGAAACTATCACCTGTGACCCTAAGGCACAGAGCTTTGCACACACCAACATGCATTTATATTATCCTCAATAATCCAAGCAGAAACAAATCTTGCAATTTTCCAAGTCTTTTTTTTACCTGCTTTGAATTTTAGCTCCTTCTAGCCATAGCTTTTCTATGAAAATTAAATCCACTATCAAATTTCAAAATGCCGAGAAGTATAAGCACAATCTGTGTGCCACATCTGACATGAAATAAAACTCTATGAAGAGCTTTGAAATCATATGATGAAAATAAAGCACATTGGGTAATGCAGTTACTATGTTGTTACCATTGTTGTTGCTTAAATACAGCATGTGAAACAGGATCTCTTCTTAATCTGTTCCCCCAACTTGGGGATTAGGATGAATTTCCAGTGAGCTCATTTGAAAGTTCTGGTGCTTAGAGTGGAGGATTGACTCTGTTCTTTGAGTCAAAATTGTGCCAAGCAGATCCAAAAAGCAAACAGAAGGACTTAAAAGGACCCTGAAAACTAAGGTTATAGGAGGGTGGGATCTCAGGGACATGGACCCAAATCACTATCTAAAAAATGCAGTGTATGCTATCAAGAAAATTGGTCAGTCCTGGCAGGGTTGCTCAGTGGGTTGAAGTGTCATCCGATACATCAAAAAGGTTGTTGATTCATACACAAAAAGTATAGGGCACATACTGAGGTTTCAGGTTCAATTCCGGATTGGGGTGCATACATGAAGCAACTGATTGGTGTTTCTCTCTTCCTCTCTCTAAAATCAGTCAAAGCATACCTTCAGCCAAAACCAGATTGGCTCAGTGGATAGAGCATCAGCCTGCGGACTGAAGGGTCCCAGGTTCAATTCCGGCCAAGGGCACGTATCTTGGTTGCAGGCACATCCACAGTGTGCAAGAGGCAGCTGATCGATGATTCTCTCTCATCGATATTTCTAACTCTCTATCCCTCTCTCTTCCTCTCTGTAAAAAATCAATAATATATATATATATATATATATATATATATATATATATATATATATATATATATTAAAAGCATACCTTTAGGTGAGAATAAAGAAGGAAGAGGAGAAGGAGGAGGAGGAGGTGGAAGAGGAGAAGCTGGTGATTCCTGATTCCTGCAGTGGCCAGCAGTCTATTAGGATAGTCACATATTTTTAAAACAGAGATTTGAGTCTCTGTGAACCTCCTCTCTCCATGGCAATACAACAGCTAGACATTAAGGGGCCAGGGCACTGGACTGTGCTGAAGGTACAATTCTGTCTGATGATGACAGTTCTAGTTCAAAAATGGGCCTCCTATGATCATTAAAAAAAAAAAAAAAAAAAAAAAAAATAGAGGCTCTTGATGGGAGAACAGAACACAACTTTTTTTTATATATCTTTCAAAGCAAACAGGCCTTCCCAGACCCTCCTCCCCAGACAGGTGAGACAGCCTCTGAGATGCTCCTGACAAGGAGCCCAAGGCTCCCACACCAGGGATTCCAGCTAGTTTCAGTAGGGGAGCAAACTTGTCAGTTTGGGGCATCTTGTTTTTGTTCCTGGTTTATATATATATAAAACAGCAGCCAGATCTGTATGATGGTTCAGTGGCTTGATCTACAAAAGCTCCGGCCCAGACCCCGGCCCGGGCAGGTGTGTCCTGAATGTAGGTTACCTATTGCTCTTCTGCTCTCCTGAGGTAGGTCCTGCAAACATTCCTGGTTTTGCTTTCCAGGGTCCCAAAGCTGTGACTTCCCAGGAGCCCCCAGAGGGAGGGAGCCCCGGGGTTCCCTGAGGTCCGACCTAAGCCCCGCCTCTTGCCTGGAGTGGGCGGGGCCTGAGGAGGGTGCGGGGGTGGGGCTCCAGGAGGCCCCGCCCAGCTGCAGGGGTGACTCCGCCTCCCGCCGTCAGACCGACACCGCGCCGGGCACGATCCTGCGGATGTGGGTGTAGGACTTCCTGATGGTGACGCTGCCGTGGTGCGACACCCCGCGGGGCAGCACGCACTCCTCGGTCAGTTTCTGCGCCTCGGGGTCCCAGCACAGCACCGTGGCGATGACCTCGTTCTTCTCGTCGCGGCCGCCGGTGATGTAGAGCCGGTTGTTGCAGGGCGCGATGCCGCAGCTGGCCCGCTCGTGGCTGAGCTGGGTCACCAGGCTCCAGGCGTCCTCCAGGGGGCTGTATGCGTACAGCGCCCGCATGGCCCCACCTGCGGGCGCCGAGGGAGGGGACACGGTGGGCCTCGCACCCTTTGTGCTGGCTTTCCTCTCCTTGGACCGCAAAACCCATCCTTCTGATTAGGTAAGCCTACACCACCTTGCCTAGAAAAAGGAGGTGCACGGCTTTCTAAAAACTTCCTAAGCGCCGGAGGCATACCCTTCCCACTGTCCTCTACATTCTGCAGCCAGAAAGGAACTCACTACAGATTCATTTGCTTCTCAGCATAACTATTATGGCTTGTCTCAGTTTCGGTTCTTACAAGGTATTTCTTGGATCACATGATCTCCTACATCTAGAGGAAATAATGAACAACATAAACTGATGGACAAAAACAGACCCAGAGAAAGAAAAGCAGCGATCAGACTCTCAAACCTCAGAGGGAAAGTAGGGGAAGATAGAGGTAAGGAGGAGAGAACAACCAAAGGACTTGTGTGCATGCAAATGGGCCTAGCCAGTGGCTATGGACAACAGAGGGGAGGGGGGATATGTGGGGAAGGGTTTGAGATGGGAATGGGGGGATGAGGACAATTATATGATACCATAATCAATAAAATAAAATAAAATAAAAATTCTGCAGCCAGGGCTCATCAGGTTCCCAGGGGCACCTGGCTTCCCTGGGTGGCCAAAATGCACCCCGAGACTGCTCCCTGGAAGAAATACCACGTGGTGCATCAGGCAGACTCTGCTCACAACTCTAGCTCTGCCCCCTTTTGATCTGTAACCACGAGCACATGATGATAAGACGTCAGAAGGACCATGAGCACCAAGTCACTGGCAGAAGGCCTGGTGCATAGAAGCCATCAGTGGTTACGTGACAGTAACCACAGGCGTAGCCCCTCGTTGAACCGAGTGCAGCCTAGGCCACCGTTCAAGGTACTTGTCTCCAGATTAGGCCTTAAGTAGTCATGAGCCTGACCATAAACACACATGAAACCTCAACCAAGTAAGAGAGGGGTTTTTCCTTCATCTCTTTCCAAATTTACTTGTCTGATGATCTCTTATTTGCTTACGTTATTTATTTTTGGCATCCCCTTTATCGGTAGTTCACAATCCTTGCTGCACATTGAAGTCACCCGTTACTTTAAAAACACTTGCAACTGCCCTAGCCGGTTTGCCCGAGTGGATAAAGCATTGGCCTGGGAACTGAAAGGTCCCAGGTTCCATTCCGGTCTAGGGCATATGCCTGGATTGTGGGCCCGATCTCCAATGAGGGACTTGCAGGAGGCAGCCAATCCATGAGTCTCTCTCGTGGATGTTTCTCTCTCTTTCTCTCCCTCTTCCTTCCTCTCTGAAATCAATAAAAATATATTTAAAAAACAAAACAAAACACTTGCAACTGTTGGCCAGCATCCCCTCTTTCCCATTCTGATTTCATTGGTCCGAAGTGAGGCCCGGCCGCCCATACTTTTGTAATAAGCTCCAAGGTGATGCTAATGAGTAGTCAGGACTGAGATCCATCATCCTTAACATTACATGCCAACTGTGGTCTGGCTGGCCAGGCTTTCCTTCGGGCAAACTGCAACTTTTCAGAGCCCCCAAAGCACGTAGGGAGAGTAAAATTCCCATGAACACAAAAGGCGAAATAATGATAGCTACTACTTATTGGGCCCTTATCATACTGTGCACATTTCCATATCTGCACATGTTCCTAACTCCTCCCTGAGTCCCAGGGATGATTTGCTTTGTATGTCTCCTACATGTGGGCAGTTTTCTGCCTCGAGGACGTCAGGGGAAATCCCACCAAAGCCTGGACCAATCCCATCTTCCCTTCCTTTTCAACCAGGAATTTGTGAGCTCCCAGGAGGGCTCCCTCCGATCTGCCTGCATGGCTTAATGGGTGGGGAACCTTGGCTACATAAGAAGCCCTTTGCTCACTTACCGACAACATAGATGCGGTCCCGGAAGCTCACGGCATTGATGCATTTAGCCTCCACGGGCATGGGCGACTTCAAACTCCACTTATTGGCCGAAGGGTCGTAACACTGGGTCTTGTCTGTGGCCAGTTTCCCGTTGGGCCCTCCACCGATCACGTAGAGCTTCTTCTTATGGCTGGTGGCTGCGAAGGAACTGACATGGACGAGGAGAGGCGCAGCCTGTGGAGAGGAGATGCAGGCCCAGGAGAAGCCGTCAGTCACATGGCCCAGCTTGCTGCGGTGGCTCCCAGGACACAGGCCCGGAGCCAGGGCACACAAGCCTGGGTGTCCTTTGCCTGAGGTCACAAGGCCTGTAGCCGTGACTCCCCTTGAAACACAGAGGATCAAAGCACATATATCCCACCCCCCCTCCAGACCCGAGCAGGCGTTGGGTGTTTCCAGCCTGTTTCTCCCAGAGTTCGGTTCTCAGGTGAGGAGGGGTTGTGACAGGAATAAATGTTTCCACTCAAAAGTATTGGAGAGAAATGCTTTTTCAAACGTGCATGGCCATATTCATTCATGTGTTTATTCACTTAACATTATTCACGATATGCCAGGCATTGTCCTTGGTGTTTATAATACCCAGGAAGGAAAAATGGTAAATGGCTTTCTGGTGGCCACAGGTAAACAGAGTCTCCCACTCTGGGGCAACATGCAGATTTGTGCTTCCATTCTGTGAACCCCAGGGCACTAACGGGGTCCTCCAAAGCTGCTTGCTTATTGACATGATCCTCTTGGGCCATGGACCAACCCACCAGTGTCAAGTAACGGGGCTTACCAAACTGAGAAGGTCTTGGTACACCCACTCTCCATTAAACATTAAGGGCTCCCTGTTTGGCACTCTTCAGGTTGACAGGTCTGGATGCCAGAAGGACCTGGCTACCTGTGCTGTGCCTATAATGACCATGCTCTACTGTAGAGGGCCCTCTGGGAAGGCACATGGACATTCTTTTAGTTCTTATCAGCTGAGCCTGAGGCACTGGCAGAGTCTTGTCAGCGGTTACAACCCCCCAAGAAGGCAGGGGGAGTTATCAGTCCAGGTGTTGGGAGAGGGCTTTGAGATGTAAATCCAGTCTAGCACGGGAAAGAGGGAATGAATAGGACCTGGGCCCACCCAAGCTCCTTTGATCCTAAGTTTCCCCGGTGAAACCCCTTTGTATTTTGGAGGATAAATAAATGTGCTGTGTTGCCTGTGAGTGTGACTGTCCCTCCATCAGAATGACAGCCTCCACCCTGCACTCAGCTTTTGGATCTATTTTTGCCTCTTGTCTCTTTCTTTCTTACCCCATTTTTGAGAGTACAATAAATATTGTTATCTAATATAACAGTGTCATACAATAGATCTCCAGAGTGTATCCTTAGCACCCATTGATTAGCAATGCCTTACCTTTGCCTGAGCAGGATATATACCTAAGTTTGCATTGTGAAACTTGTTAAACTCTTGCACGCAAGTATATAAAAGATGATTCACTGATAAGCAAATAAACAAGGGCTGATTTATAAGCACTACCAAATGACTGCATTCAGCAAAACTGTGTTAAAGGGATCCTTGGGTGTCCCATGTGAAGACGAGGATAGATGGCATCTGAGGGCACAGAGACTCTAGGCCAACATATACACCCAGTGTAGGATCCAGCCTCCCCGCTCCCTTCCCCCCACCACACATCTGGGGTTCTGGCCAGGATAAGGCAGGTGAACACAAAGCTGTGACCTGATCAGCAATGCTAAAGCAATGATTTCTATGATGAGGGAAGCTCACAGCCACCAAAAATGTTCTCAGTGGAAGCCGAGTGATTAGAAGGCCATATACCAACATTGACACATACCCTTTCTTAGGCTTTGCAGTAATAATACAAACAGCGTTACCCATAGAAACAATCTCCAATACCTCTGACCAGCAGTTGTGGAAGGGGTCGTAGGTCTCCACGTTGTTGATCCTCTGCAAGCCATCAAAACCGCCGATCACATAGACCTTGCCACCCAACACCACCATCTTATGCCTCCAGCGGCCTATGTTCAAATACTCTATTTGGATCCATTTGTTGATTGAAGAGTTATATTTCCAAACATCGTGCTGTGTTTCTTTGCCGCCTAGAAGAGATGCAGGGCGTTTAAGAAACCACCAGTTGTGTCAGAAATACAGCCCCTCCCATAATTTCCCGCAGATCCATAAGTGCTGAATCCCTAGGCCAGCCCTCCTAAGAAAAGAGAAATCCTGAAGGGGTGTGTGGCCTATTTGGGGAGACAGAACCAACACAGAGGAACAAAAAAAGACAGTGTGAGGCTGGGGTGAACAATTCTCCAGACGAGTCATGTGGCATCTCTGTGCCATGAGAGCTCAGGGAAAAGGTGGGCTTCAGGGAGGCCGGACCACGTCCTTCTCCACCCTCAGCAGGAGCCTGGACTCTGTGTGTGTGAAGCTAAGAAGCAAGCTGTGAGGCAGGGCAGATAAGGCTGGCCTGTGCAGGGCCTTCCTTGACCAGCAGGCAAATAAAAAGCAGCTTACATTCTGTTTGCTTATTTGTTTTTAAAAATGCAAACCCAATAAATATTTTAAAGTCCCTGGAGTTGCCTAGCTGGTTGGCTCAGTGGTTGACCACCGACCAATGAACCAAGAAGTCACTGGTTGATTCCTGGTCAGGGCACACGCCTGGGTTGCAGTCTCGATCCCTAGGAAGGTGCATGCAGGAGGCAGCCTCCTGGCACACAGTTAAACTGCATTTCCCAGCCTACCTGCAATGTTTCTCTCTCATCCATTGATGTTTCCATCTCTCTATCCCTCTCCCTCCCTCCATCTCTAAACTAATCAATTAAAACATATTTTTAAAAATTATCTGGGTTTATAACTGTACAAAAAAAAATATAAGTGGGGTTGACCTGTTTTTAAACAATTTTCACTATAAAAGAATGAGATGCTCCCATAGAAAACGTGAGTGAGCTGGCAAATAATTTTTTCAAAACAACTCTCTTCTTAAACAGAAAATACATAATTTAATTAGGAAGAGAGAGAAAAAACAGAAAAGAACTGTCTTTTTTGGTGTCTTTAATCAAATACTTGAACAAATTTATATTTCCAATTCCCCATCAGCACAGAGTGCCAACTCAACTACTTAATGAAAAAATATGTACTTTTCAGACTTGTTAACCTGCCCTAGTGCGGCAGTGAATGTCACTGATGATGCTCCATGTCATGCATGGGTGCGTGTTTCTCTAGGATGGAGCCCAAAAGTGGGTTTCCTTGAATTTTTATGGGTGCTGCCAAAGAGCCCTCTAAAGCTGCTGGTTGTCCTTTCCCCACGCCCCACCCACAGTGGATGTAAGGAGGAGGTTGGGGTTGTTTTGGGATGCTTTCTTTGTTGTTGTTTTATAGCCTAATGGAGAAAAATAGTGCCAGTTTGGTTCTCCCTGGCTATTAGGGAGACTGAGCTTTTTCCTCTCCTGTGAATTTTTAGTTCATTTTTCTTTTGGTTGTGTGCCTTTCAGAGATCTCTATTTACTTAAAACTCTGTGATCTTGGTCCCATGTAGGTAGTGTCAAAACTTACTAAATAACTATAAACTTTCAAAGAAATGCATGCAAATTTTATTTAAAAAGAAAAAGGACTCTATGGATTTTACTTCATAAAAGAAGACCCGATTAACTGGGGCAGGCATATACTGTGCATAGATAAGAAGACATCCACCTTCTCCAGATAAATCCACTTATCCAGCGCCTTCAGAAATTTTCAGGGAACTTGAAAAGATCATTCTAAATTTCACTTGGAAGAGTACATTTGGAAAGACTTCTAAGGAACTTGTGACAAAGAAAAATGAAGAGGGGGCTTTCCACAGTGAATATCAAACTATATCCTCCACAGCTATTACACAAACAACATGGTGCTGCATCAGACCACACACTGATGAATAACAGCCAGAGTACAGAACAGCTAAAAGATGTAGAGATCATTCAATAAATGGTCTTAGAACACTTTTAGAGAAAAATTAAGATAGATCCTTATTCCACATTACCCTTAAAATAAACCTCACATGTAAAAGCTTTAAAAGTAACTGAAGAAAATATAGAAGATATTTAGGATCTTCAGGTTGTATTTGAAACCCAGAATCATATAGTAAAGTTATTATATAAAATCTAAATCAATGTTATAAAACAACACAGCCTGGCAGAAAGTACTTGCAATACAAATAGCAAAAGGTATATGGTAAGAACTCCAAAACCTTAATTTAAAAAAAAAAAAAGAAAAAGAAAAAGAAAAAGAAAAAAGACAAACCACCAACAGAAAAACAAAGCGTGTAAACACATAATTTGTAAAATAAATACAGTTAGCTATTAAATATACTCGACCTCATTAATGATCCAAGTGTGTAAATTTAAACATTCTAATCTATTAAAAGTATAATTGATGGATAATGAAAAACAATATAAAATGGATGTTGAAATGGCCACTGTTATTTGGTTGAACTGTAAATTGGTACAAACTTTCTGGAGGACAATTTAGCAATATCTACAAGCATTCCAAATCCTCACATCTTATGACCACTTCTAGGAATCTCTCCAAATAGCAGCACAAGTTCATAAACATATGTGTAATATTTTTTAGTAGAAAAAAATAAAAGCTGAAAAACAGTCATGGTTCATTTATTCAATAAACTGTCCTGCAGCTGGTAAAAGGAATAATGATAATGAAATGACGCTAATGATGGCTAACACTGTTAAGGTCTCACCATGTGCTTGGGATTGTGCTGTGCTTTACATGAATTATATCACTTAAAACGTATGATAGATCCATTATACCAATAATAGATCCATTATTTCCACCTGCAATGAGGTGGAAAATGTATTGTAAATTGAAGTGATATTTCTGTTGATTTTATGGTGTACTAAGACCCAGTGCATGAAATTTGTGCACAGGGCAGGGGGAATCCCCTCAGCTCAGCCTGCACACTCTCCAATCCGGAACCCCTTGGAGGATGTCTGACTGCCGTTTTAGGCCCAATCCCTCTCAAAATCCAGGACTGCTGGTTCCTAACTGCTCACCTGCTTGCCTGCCTGATTGCCCCTAATTGCCTCCCTTGCCAGCCTGATCACCCCTAACTGCCTCTGCCTGCTGGCCTGATGACCCCTAATTGCCCCATCTGCTGGCCTGGTTGCCCCCAACAACCCCTCCCTGCTGACCTGGACACTCCATGCAGCCTGCTATTCAGTCATTTGGTCGTCCCTCACTAACCTCCCTGCCAGCCTGGTCACCCCACACAGCCTGCTTTTCGGTCATCCGTCCAGTTGTTTTGGTTGTGACAGCCCCTGGATTTTTACATATTGGGATAACAAGCATGCTTTCATATATTGCTTGTATCATTTTTTAAAAAGACAATGACACATTTAAGAGAAGGACAAGTTGTAGAATAACATGCAATGGATGTGGCAAAGACTGACTACAATTATAAACTCCATCTTTTCCTTCTGGTCACACAGTTAAACCTCATTTCCCAGCCTACCTGCAGTGGGTAGGGGGCAGGGAGGTCATGTGGCTCATTCTTGCCAATAAACTATGATTAGAATTGTGAGTCCAGACTAAGGCTGTTCTCAGCTCGTTCACACTCAACTCATTCATTTTTCTCTCTCCTCTCAAAATGAAGACCACATATGCAAAACAGCAGCATCACGAGATGGAAGGAGCCTAGGTCCCTTAGTGACTGAGCAGAGCAACCCCATATACTGTTGTGGTAATTCACTGAGATTTAGAATTAGATACTGAAGCTGGCATTATTAACTCTAAAGCAATACAAAACTGTTTTAAACTTAAAGTATAGGGTTGTAATGACAGAGAAACTGACATATTTTACTTCATACTCTATATTATTTGAATCTTCCACAACAATTAAAACGTATTTCTACAAGATAAAAGAAAGCTATAGCCTCATCTATGATATTAATATATCCCAAGAAGAAGTGACCTGACCTTGATTTTGGAGGAAACCATCTCTGGGAAGCAGCTTTTCCCCAAATAAGTACAGATTAGAGAGCACCTTCTAGAGAAGAGAAGGGATACTTGTCTCCTCCCGTGGGGCCACAAGAAGAGCTGAGTTGCTTTGTGGGAAAGCATGGGTCTCGGAGAACCTGGGTTGGAATCCTGCCTGGATTGAAATTTGCCAGTGTGTGTCCTTAGGTGCATTCCATAACCTTTTTGAGTTTCCATTTTCTCCACCTGTTACCTGGAGATTTAAGTCACCTATCTTATAGAGTTGATGTGAGAGACATATGATTAAATGCTCCCAAATTATAAATTCATCTACTATGCAGGAAAGATGGTAGAAAATATGTTTTTCAATAAATTGAGCATTAACTATGGTGACCAGGCACAGTGCTAGGTGTTGGGAATAGTTCTGACTGTCAGATAATTTAAGGATTAGTGGTTGATAGGCATAAATCATTATAAATAATTGATCAAACTACTTAGAAGTCAGAAATGAAAAAAAAAAATACTGGATGCTTTGGGAGTGTCTAAAAGTATAACCTAATAAACGTGAAGGATCAGGTCTTGGAGAAGAGCAGACATTTTCATTCATTACTGTATTCCCAGTGCCTTGTGACCATATATGCCTATAGCAGATACCAAATAAATTCTAGTATCTCTTTCCTGTTTCTCTTCCTGCTCCCCAGATCCCAGCACAATATTGCTCACAGGTTAGTGCTCATCAAATAAAAAATGTGCTTTCCAAGATAACACCACCTGAGCTGCTGGTTTCCACATCCTGACCCAGACAGAGCTAGATCGTTGCCATTTACAATAATTCTTCTAGGATGGCTGCCTGCCCTCCCTCAGGAAAATGTGTAGTGCCAATGCGGACGTGCTTTGGCATCACGTGGCTCCTGCTTACCTGAGATGTAGACCTCATTTTTTAATGTCACGCATGCAAACTCCACCCACTTCTTATTCTCACTCTCCAGCTCGTGCTCCGTCATCGGGAGCTTGGCCACCTCCAGGCGGCTGCGCCTCAGGGGGTCCAGGCAGGTTACCTCCGCCACAAACCGCTCATCCTTCGTGCAGCCACCGATGATCATGAACACCTCAGACTGGAACTCGTGCATCCTGGGCTTGGTGCGCTCTGATATTATCTGGAAAACCAAGGGGAGTACAGGGTGACACAGGGCTTCAGAGCTCAGGTGATGGAGCCAGCAGAGCAGGACCCAGTTCCCCACCTTGCCATGGTGTGACCAGGTGACAGCACCTCCCTGAGCCTCTGTTTCATCCTCTGTATATTAGAGGGTATAGTGGTAACTACCTCACAGGTGTGCTGTAAGGATTCATTGAGATCATATATTCATTGAGATCATATACAGGTTTGCTGTGAGGATTCATCGAGATCATATATATAGTATGTATACCAGGCCCAGAGCCTGGTATACGATAGGTACTCAATAAAGGTTATCTGTTATTGCTTTTGTTGCCATTTTAAGAACTCCAGGTCTGTTTACCATCAAATGCACTTCTTGCTTCTCCCTTCCTATCTGATATGAAGCCTTGAATCCTAGAATTCCATTTTTGGCCACCTTCCACACCTGCCTTGTTCCAATATCTTGATGACATCCCAGACTTTTGTTCACTACCAAACTTCTTCTGAAAGAGAGGTCCTGACAATGGGAGCTGGGTATGGCCAAGCAGATTGGGAGACTGGGTCTCAACCTCAAGCATATGACCCTTCAGAGCCTTGAACAAAAAAAGAGAGCCACACCATGGGTATCTGAACCCAGCTGAAAGAGCAGACATCTGGAGACAAATACAACAGAGTTTGGGTCCACCACCTACGGCCTTGTGATCATGGAGAAGCAATACAATCTCCGTAAATGCCTATAATCATTTCTATGTCATCAGACCTCAGTATAGATCAAGGTGGAAATTTAGGAGGAAGTGAAACAGAGGGGCAACTTTTCTGTCCCAAAAGACCTCTCCCAAGGAAGGTACCAGCTTACCATTTCTAAGTTAAATACACACTGACATTTGCTTTTAGGGTTTTAAAATGTCCCACTGTCATCACCTTCATGAACTTGGAGGAGGGACAACATTAAGAAGGAGAGATAATGATAGGACAAGAAGGGTTAAAGTTTGGGAAAGGAAGGTGAAGTGAGTTCCAGGCATAGCCTCCAAGCGTACACTACTGTCACCAGGAACAAACCCAAGATCATTCAAGCAGTGAGCAGACAGGGAGTTTCAGGAACCAACTAGCAATGAGATCGCAAGCCAGGGATCACAGTGGTGGGTTGGTTCAGTTACCCAGCCTGCAATGGAAATGAAAAAGTGCTTTGAGCTGGATTGCAGGCAATGAAGGCAGCAAAAACCTAGGACACAGTGAAAAGAGAGATTTTAGCCTAAGACAAAGAAAATGTCTGCTTGTGGGAGATAGGGCATCAAAAACAAACTGAGTGAGAATAAGAGCAATCTTCGATTGTGGGGCATTTACCATGTGCCAGAAGCTGTGCTAAACACATCTAATTCATTATCTGATCATATCTCAAAACAATTCTAGCAGTTGGTAGGCATTATTATCTCTGGGTTACAGGTTGGGTCTGAGCTCTAGAGCAGTTAAGTAGCCCAAGGTCACACTGTAGGTAAGTTATGCAAAGTTAAAGCCAAGATTCTCCTGACTGCAAGCCCAAATTTCTGCCCCTGGAGACTTTTCCAGATATCAGAATTCTCTCTCCTCCTCAATCCAAAGTTTCTGCTCCCACTCCCCACCCTCACCCCAATTCAAATACAAAAGGCAGAGCAGGTGTTTTATAGCAGCAATTCTGCAGAAGACATAGTAGAGATATTTTATATCAAAAGAATGCCTTCATCACCTGCATTTCAGAGACTAAACAAATGGGAAGCAGAAACAGAAATAGCCAGAATTTTGGAAATACAGTTGATCAAGACTCTGAACTTTAAACGCTTCGCTGAATACAGCTGCAGAAACTGACACTTGTCCAAGTGTATGAGGGTTTTGATTCCCAGTGCTGAGCCTCCTGCCAGCGACCCACATACCCAGCACGGGACCTGACCCATGTGATTGCCTACACTCCCTCCATCAGTATACCACCCTTTATTTGCTTACTGTCCTCTATTCTCTGAAAGACAGACATTTAGCAAGGCAGAGATTTTTTTTGTAGTGCCTGGTGCCATTTCTGGCATTTGTTACTGTTGAGGATTTATTTGTAATATATATATAGTATTAAAATATATGGGATGCTGTTAAAGTAGTACTTGGGGGGAAATTTATAGTACTAATGACAATATTAGGGAGGAAAGGTCTCAAATCAATGACCTCCAAATCTACCTAAGGAACGGAAAAAAAGAAGAGAAAATTAAACCCAAAGGAAGCAGAAGACAAAATAATCAAGATTAGATTAGAAATAAGTTAAATAGAAAACACAAAAGCAATAGAGAAAAATAAAATTAAACCAGAAGCTTGTTTTTTGAGAAAATCAATACAATTGACACACCTCAAGCAACCTGATCAAGAAAAAATACAGGAAACACAAATCACCACTATCTGGAATGGGAGATGTGTATGACATCACTACAGATTCTACAGATAATAAGGGAATATTGTGAACAACATTAAACCAACATATTCAGTAGCTTCTATGAAATGGGAAAGTTCTTTGAAAAATACAAACTATTCAAGCTCATTCTAGAAGAAATAGATAACCTGAATAGCCCTATATCTATTAAAGAAATACAATTTCTAATTAAAGACCACACACACACCTCCTGATTCTAGTAGCATCACTGGTAAAACTACCAAACATTTAAAAATATATTTGCAGAGTGAATGAGTGGCAATGAATCTGAGGACAACACAGAACTAGAAAAAACACATGGGAAAAGGAGGAGGCTGCTGGGGGGCTTCACACAGATCATTCCTAAGCCACTCTTTACTCAGGTATCTACCAAGGGCCTAATGAAGAAGGCTTGGTAGCCAAACCCAAAAGCATGGTGGGATATGTGTGGGTTTCGTGTATATAAGCCTAACAGTCCCTGTTTCATTACTTCTTGACTGCTTATCCACCTCCACTAAACCTAGTATTGTCTATACAGAGATGAATAAACTATTTCTTCAATTGTTAAGAAGAACCAGGTAGATTCAAATGATGTGCACATTCACTGTTTTGGTCTCCGTTTATTCATACAACAAACCTTTATCAATCACTTACTATATACCCGGGAATCTCCTAAAGTCTGGAGATGAAAATGCCAGTACAACATACTTTCTACCATAACAAGCTCCCAACCTGGAGATATTTACAGATGAGGAATTCAATGGTTAACATGGAGCAGTCAGTGTTAAAACACTGCAATGCATCAGGGGCTGAGAATGAGAGAAGCCACTGGAGAAGATGATGCTTGAACCAAATTTTGAAGCAGGAGCACAAGCTGACTAGAAGAAGAGGGAAAAGGCAGCTGGACATCGCCTGCATTAGCTGGAGGCAGAGAAAGCAGGCCCGCTTTGGGGAATTAGAAGCAGTGTCTTTGGGCTATAGCAGAAAGGGGCTGGAGAGGCACTAGAGCAGCAGGCAGGAGGGGAAGGGGACAGGGCCAGGCTGGGAGCTCTGGCAGGAAGTGTGGGCTTTATCCTGAAAGGGGCGAGGAACCTGTGAAGAGGGTAAGCCTAGGAGAGAAATGACCAGGCTCCCGTTTTAGATCATCCGGCTGATGAATGAACTGGAGGGAGGCCGAATTGGAGCAGGAAGGCGGGTTTTGAGGAACTTTCATAAATTCAGGAAGGAAATAACGAGAATCTGAACTAAGGAAACATCATATTCCCCGGAGTGGGCAGGAAGAAAGCAGCACCCGGTGTGGCTCACTCTGTCCACGTGTGTGTCACCCCCACTGCCCTCCCGCCCTTCCACAGCTGGGAAGAGAAGGCACGTGCCAGGCTTGGTGCTGGGTGGTTTCTGTCTCTCACCTAATCCCCTCAGCAGCTACCCATGAGGCATTATCATCTCCATTTTGCAGATCAGAGATCCAGGGCTTCTGGAACTGCCTGACTCAAACTGTCAGGTAGCATCTTCTTGCTCTAAGGATCTGCCAGCCAGCCGGCCTCCCCTGCTCTCTGTGAGGCCCGCTCACTCCTTCACGAAGCTGGCTAATGGCAGCATCTCCCATCTCACCTCATTGCCAGACAGGTGGTACATCCTGGCTTCCTGGAGCAGCGGGAAGACCTCGGGGCACTGCCTGATGAGAGGATCTGCCTCCACCGTCTCCACAAAGTACCAGGGGTCCAGCAGCGGCAGGCGCACGAACTCCAGGATGCAGGGGAGCAGGCAGAGCCGCTCCGACTGCTTGTGCCGTACCCAGCTCATCACCGTCTCGAACACCTGAGCCTCCTCCGTCACATACAGGTCGTCGCTCTTCAGGATATGATACAGAGTGTCCACGGGAAGCTCCAGGAACTCCTCGGCGTTCAGGATCTGCACAAAGTTTTGGATGATGTAGCTTTGAACCTGCTTCTTTAGGCTGTCCAAGGAGTGTGTGTCCGCCAGCCTCAGTATCCCGACACAGTTTTCTGGGTTCAAGGCTTCGGTGAGGAAGCTGGCGCAGGCATCCACCATCCGCAGGAACTAAAGAGAACAATAAGGGACTAGGTAAGCAGATAAGAGTACATTCCTACTTTTGACGGCTCTATGGTCATTAAGAAAACATGGTGTAGAAGAATATTAAATGGCGTAGAACATTTTTATTGTTTTAAAATCATCTGTTCATGGAATCTGATTGAGCCTCTAGTTTTGATCGGCAACTGCAGGAAAGAGAGTTGAGCCCTGGCCGGTGTGGCTCAATTGGTTGAGGATCGATCGTCCTGTGCACCTAAAGGTCACTGGTTGGTTCTGGGTTAGGGTACACTCCCAGATTGCAGGTTTGGTCCTGGTCCAGATTTGTGCAAGAGACAACTGATTAATGTATCCTCTTTATCTCCCTCTTCCTCTTTTTCTAAAATCAAGTGGAAGAATATACTCTGTTCATAATTTCCACATCATTAAAATCATCATTAAAATGTTCATACTACCCAAAGCGATACAATCCCTATTAAAATGCCAACAGCATATTTCACAGACTCTAGGACAAACTCTCCAAAAATTTACATGGAGCCGAAACCGGTTTGGCTCAGGTTCAATTCTGGTCAAGGGCATGTACCTTGGTTGCGGGCATATCCCCAGTAGGGGGTGTGCAAGAGGCAGCTGATGGATGATTCTCTCTCATCGATGTTTCTAACTCTCTATCCCTCTCTCTTCCTCTCTGTAAAAAATCAATAATATATATATATTTTTAAAAATTTACATAGAATAAAAAATTTTTTTTAGAAAAAGACCCCGAATAGCTGCAGCAATCCTGAGAAAGAAGAACAAAGTTGTAGGGATCACAATACCAGATATCAAGCTATATTACAAAGCCACTGTTCTCAAAACTGCCTGGTACTGGCATAAGAACACACATATAGACCAATAGAACAGAACAGAGAACCCAGAAATTGACCCAAGCCATTATGCTCAATTAATATTTGACAAATGAGGCAAGAGAATACAATGAGACAAGACAGTCTCTTCAATAAATGGTGCTGGGAAAATTGGACAGATATATACAAAAAAATGAAACTAGACCACCAACTTACACCATTCACAAAAATAAACTAAAAATGGATAAAGGACTGAAACGTAAGATAGGAAACCATAAAAATCTAAGAAAATTCATAGGCAGCAAAATATCAGACATATGTCATAGCAATATCTTTACTAGAAACAGCTCTTATGGCAATGGAAACTAAGGAGAAAATAAACAAATGGGACTACATAAAAATAAAAAGCTTCTGCACAGCGAAAGAAAACATCAACAAAACAATAAGAAGCCCACTGTATGGGAGAACATATTTGCCAATGTTACATCCAATAAGGGTTTAATTTCCAAAACTGATAGGGAACTCATACAACTTAACAAAAGGAAGATAAACGATCCAATCAAAAAAATTGGCAAAGGACCTAAATAGATACTTTTTGAAAGTAGATATACAGAAGGCCAAGAGGCATATGAAAAAATGTTTAAAGTCATTAACTATCCAAGAGATATAAATCAAAAAACAATGAAGTACCATCTCACACCTGTCAAAATGGCTAACATCAACAAATCAACAAATGACAAGTGCTGGCGAGGATGCAGAGAAAAAGGAACCCTTGTGTACTGCTGGTGGGACTGCAGACTGGTGCAGCCACTGTGGAGAACAGTATGGAGTCTCCTCAAAAAATTAAAAATGGAACTCCCATTTGACCCAATAATCCCACTTCTAGGAATATATACCAATAAATCAAAACACCAATCAGAAAGGCTATATGCAACCCTCTGTTCATAGCAGCACAATTTACCTAATAGCTAAGGTTTGGAAACAGCCTAAGTGCCCCTCAGCAGATGAGTGTGCAAGAGGCAGCTGGTCGATGTTTCTCTCTCATCGACGTTTCTAGCTCTCTATCTCTCTCCCTTCCTCTCTGTAAAAAATCAATAAAAATTAAAAATAAAATAAAAATAAATTAAAAAAAAAGAAAAGATGTATAGAATATAGGCCTAAAAAAAAAAAAAAAAAAAAAAAAAGACTGAAAGATAATATTGACAGTTGTCAATCTCTCTGTGTATCAGATTTTATGCTGCAGTAAGAAATGACCCCCAAATATCAGGGACTTAAAACAATACATGTTATTTCTCACTCATATTACATGTCATTCACTGGGCTCTTCATTCCAAGACCCAGGACTTTGCAAAAGTCCTTAACTAAAGTATGCCAGTCTTGTGACAAGAGAAAAAGGATGGCTCTTAGCACTTTTGTTCAGAGGTAGTGTAGGCCATTCATACCCACTCACACTGAGCTGACCAGGGTAAGTCTTGTGGCAAAATTTGTTGTCAAGGAAACAGTAATCCTCCCACAGAAAATGATTCCATACCAATGGACAGCAAATGTGCTATATAAATAATATAAGGCACCCTACTTGCTAATAAGACTATGATAATTTTTAAATTTTGTTTATTTATATACTTTTTATTTTATTTTTTTAATCCTCACCCAAAGAGTGAGGATATTTTTTCCATGGATTTTTAGAATGGAAGTGGAGGGGGAAGGGGGAAGAGAGAAACATCGATGTGTGAGAGACACATCAATTGGTTGCCTCCCACACTCACCCCGACTCCAGGTAGGGATTGAACCTGCAACCCAAATACATGACCTTAATTAGAAATCAACCCTCTGGTGTGCAGACCAGCACTCTAACCACTAAGCAATGCTGACCAGGGCTATTTATGTACTTTTGAAATCTTCCAACATGAATAAGTAACACCATTGCAATGAAAATTAATTTGTAAAATTGATTGGCTTTTGTGTCTTATTTTTCAATTATCATCATCCTCATAATATGAGCCCCATGTGTATATATAGCCTTTAACAGCTTACAGAGCACTGTCACATGCGTTGTTATTTTAATATTCATTTTACAAATGAAGTGTCTCAAATGTATCAGTTCATTCTATTCATTGCTCTCTGTTGCTTACTTTGAACAAGTCCAAACTCCTATCTCCCCTCCTGTCCACTAGGCCCCTTCTAAGGTCAAGTTCTCCATGTTCTTGAATTGATCAAGTAGCAGAAGATTGGAAGAAGGGAAGCACCCAGGGAGGGCTGGTCTGAAGATAGGTGAGAGGATAGACGGGCAGGCCTGCTGAGAAGACAGCTCTAGTGGCAGGACCTGGGGGTGGCAGGGCTGTGGGCCAGAAGGGTGGAGGTGGGCACAGGATGTAGAGTGGACCCTATTGACTTAGGTTTTGCCCTTCACCCCAGAGCAATCTAAGGATACACATCCCTGGTTGTTTGGATCATTTCCAATTACAAAAATATTGTCTTTCCACATCACATCACACTTTCCAATTGTCTGTTTATAAAGCGCTGATGGAGGGTCCATGCCACGTTGAAGAAGGCCTGAATTCTGCCTCCAACCCCCCTGTCTGCTGGTCCCAACCACCTGCAGATCTGCTTCTCGCATGAGCAACTGTGGAAACGGTTGAGACTGAGAATCCTAACACCTGCTCAGTTGTTCGCAGATTTTCAGTTCAAAGAGTAAAAATACACAACGGAGACCAAGCCTCACTGAGCCCTCAGAACTTGTAACCAGAGCGCTCTGTGGCCCTGCCCGCAGAGACGCTGTCAGAGGCTGAGAGGGAACTCATTTGTGTGGTAGCCTTCGGAGCAAAACAGCAGGTTCGCCGTGCCAGAGTTTGCGTGAGAAGAAGACGATGTGAAAACCAAACCGATTTTCTAAATATGTCGACGAGCTCTGAGAGACCACCGAAGAGCCTGGTAACAGCGACGGCCTCTGGGGAGGAGACCTGGCGGCTGGGTTCAGGGTAAAGAGGAAGAATTACTTTTCACCGTTTACCTTTCTATACCCCCTGGAATTATGTGCCAAGAGGAGGAATTCGCTATTTAAAATAAAGTAACTTTCTCATGAGTAGAGGAAACACTACAAGGAAACACATCAAAATGCGAACAGTGGTTATTGCAAATGCAGCTTTGGGAAGTTACCCATTTGTTTTTTAGACTTTTCTGTATACACCAGGTTTCCTACACTGAGCAGGAAGCTGCTTTTAAAATCAGAAATTAATACTGTCTTGCAATTCTTAAGTACACATTGAGATAATAAAATAAAATAAAAAATAACATAAAGAGAACCTACAATGTGCCAACCCCTTTATAGTAACTAGATCATTCACCCTTACAACAACACTATAAAGTAGATAGTTATTACCAGTCCTGTTTTATAGATGAGGAAAACAGGCTCAGAGAAGTTAAGTCATTTCCCGAGAGATTTGTAAATAATAACAAGTGGAGCAAAAATTTGAAACTGTCTTATCTGGTTCCAGAAATGCACATTTTTACATTATTTCAAGCTGCCTCCAGTCAACTAATGTGTGCACAGGACGGCAGCTTTGCAGGTGCCAAACATCATCAATTGGCACACCTGTCTGGAGGGCTCAGCTGATCTAATCTGCCCACATTCGGGAAGGGCTGGCCAGCAAGATGCCAGTTCCTGCCTCTGCTTGATGACTATTGATGAGCAAAGAAGGAGATCAGGAAGGAGAATCGAATCAAATGTCTAAGTTCACATTTGTAAGAAGCTTTGATCTAAATGTGTCTCCCCCCCACTCACAACCACGCATGCATCATTCATCCACGTGTCCATTTCCCAAATGTGTACTGAGCATCTATGTGCTGGGCTCTCAGCTAGTGCTGGGGGTACAGAAGTGAGTGGAAAGAGACACCAGTGCTCACCGAAGCTGACAGACCAGTGGGAGATGGGAGCAGTAATCAAATCATCACACAGGCGTAAAGTTACTGCTGTGATAAATGTCTAGGGGTCCCACTGCCTGAGACTGAAAAAGTCCTACCTCTACCTCTCCAGCCGTACACACTCTGGCTCTGAGCTGTCCCCCAGATTCTCCCTGCTGGAACCCCTCCACACTCAGACCTGTCCACTCACTTCTCCAAACATCCCTAAGCTTACCTATCCTAGTGCCTTTGCCATTCCCTCGGCCCCAA